ATAGCTCAAATATCCTCGATTTCGTTTCAACCAATGATTCAATATCCTCATGTCCCGAGTACTGATATAGTAACTACAATATAAGGAAAATTATGAGTAAGATTTACTTTTAGAGAAAAACAATACATAGAATGACTAATGGCTTTTCATTAAAAAATAACAGTACGAAGATACTTTTTATTGTCCGAGAAGTAATAGTAAATATAAATTTGGCAAGAAACAAACAAGTTTTCTTGAATATGTATTAAAAAAATTTTTAAACAAACAAAGTGAACTAAGTGATTCCAATCTCAACTAGATTCCAAACTCAACTGCAACATATATATGAAAGAAAATCTTGAATGAACTTCTACCATTAACCAAAAATTTCGATCCAAATTAATTGAATCAATACAGAGGTCTTTTATTTTGTTTCTATCGTAGTTCTATTTAAGAACCATCCCATAATATTTTCGATGATCCGATCTATTTGTAGTATTTAAAATCGCCGATTATGACTACGTCTCAATATGCATATTATCGTGGTCATGCATGTTTTCCGTGAATGAGGAGAGAGATGATTTCTTTCTTCATATCCACAGTAAATAATACAAAAAAAGTTTTTCTTTAATAAAATAATATTTACTGTTCATTTTGATCTTAAGACTGATATAAATAAAAGAGATAAAACTATTTTCATAAAATAATACTCACTGTTCATTTAGGTCATTAGATGATATAAATAGAAGAAAGAAAAATATTTATTTTTATATCATAATGCTTACTTTTGAAGTTAGTTAGACCATCGCTGAATAATTGTGATTTATTGTAATATCCGACAAATCATTGATTAGTCACGATTAATTGATGTCTTTGTTTGTTATTTAAAAAATTATCAATTATTTGTGATTATTTAGTTATTGTTTTAGTTGAAATCATGATTAATAACCAATTTTTTTCAAATTTTGTGATTAGTTGCAAAAAGTAACACGATTTTAATGACATGGACAGCTTTAGAGAACTTTATAGGATTTTCATAAGATAGTTGCCTATACTATAGACTTAACTATCACGAAATATTGCGATTAGATATTCAATATATATTCCGCCGATAGTAACAGGAACTTTATTATCGGACCGATAAAGGTCGAAGTCAATTATGATGTTTTAATCTTAGAGAATGCTTGTTTTTGCCGATTTAGCACTTCAATTACAGTAATTTACTTTTCAATTGATTTATATTGTATTCTACACGATATATTTCATATGAAAAGACACTTGGCTATTAAAAGAATTCCTGAGTTGATCTTCTTACAAAAGACTGCATGAAAACTCTAGTTAAACCGAATACACTCATTTTCAATCAATCCAACTCCTTTTGATTCTATTTGATTGAATCGAATCAAGTCGAATCGAATTTTGTGTGACGACTAAGTTCATCTTTCTATTCCAGTAAGACTGTTTTGATTTTCAAAAATCCCTGAATTGAATTTCATCTTTCAGATGTTGAGAACGAAGACTTGCTTCCAATCCTGTACAGTTTATTATCATCCGTGTCGCGCAGAACTCTATTTCGACAACAAAAAAGTACTTACTAGCATTGTTTTAAATCGTATACAAAGACACTATCCTTCACGAAAAACTATTGTGACGGAAAGGAGACTTTTAAAGAGTTTGTTGAAAGACTTAAGCTTTGTGGAAGTTGAATAACTGCATGAGTATATATCAATTTGGAAGAATCTTTTGAATTAGGTATTTAAAATATTTCGTTACTTTTATCGAAAGAACTTGAATTTGGATGACAAACATCATCAGCATAGCCTCGTGTAGTAACAAAATTATTAATAAATCTTTTTATTAACATGTTTCTTTGTGATAAGACTCTAAGATAGTGCTGAATTTTGTTTGACTATGCAAAATACTGTATGGTTCGCGGAAAATATTTTAGAGTGCCCATGATTTCATGAGGTTTACTTGAAGTTCGGACTTTTTGCATCAAAATTGATCGAGTAGATCTTAAATTTTTCGTAATTTTAGTCCATGAAAAATTGACTCGATTTCTCAGATGCGAATATAATTGGCTACTAAATCTTCGCAGCGTTAAGACATTTCCAGTGTTTCTAGTACTTTTTCGACTGAAGAATGGAAAGAAGAAGATATTGCATGTTGTTGTTGTTCAGTCTTACCTGTTTTTATTCATTTATTATGTTCTTTTTCTGCATTGAAAAAGAGACTTACTTGATTTTTCGACGAAATAGTAGAAGATAAATCAAAGAACTTCACTTGGATTCAATATGCTTTACCACCATTGATGGAGAGCTATTGAACGAGTGTAAAACACATTTCTGTACATAAGTTGAAGAGAAAAAGAAACATATTGAATGCCACTCTGATAGAATCTACATGTTATTTGCAACACAAAAAGGCAGTTGCATGTTTTTTTTATCATTGTCACTAATAATTTATTGCATAATTGAATAATGACATCGACTGTTCTGCAAATCTAATGAATGAACAAGTCATATTTTTGTCGATTTAGCTTTGAATCGTGCAGCTTGTCATTAAGGAGACTTTCTGTATATTGTCCATTGGTGATTACGTGAATGTAAGCGACTATTATAAATTGAAATCATATTTCCCAGAATTGCTTCAATACTGCCGATGCTATTTTATTAGAAGAGAGCAATATGAGTGTGTGTTTTGTATCCTATGGGAGCGAACATTATTCATCATCTAGATCGATAAGTATGGAAAAAAACTGACCTCATGAGAAAGTTGAAAAGAAAAAGAAACATATTGAATGCTATTCTGAGTTTCGTACCTGTTGTATGCAGAACGGAAAAGCATTCAATGATTTTGGTCACTTCACATTTGAGCATACAAGTAAACATAGATAGATGATCCATGCAGGAGTTAGTTAGACTCTTTCATATCAACAACAATTTGTATAGCAGCTCGAGCAGATGATACGTCCTTGATGTTTATTGTGACCAGGGTATGAGTGTGGAGTAATGTGAAAGAAAAACAGAACAACATCCATCCGCATCCACATCCAGAACTTTACCCATATCAGCACACGGTCACACATACACATCTATTCCTATACCTTCACGCCAAACTGAAATTTAGGACAAAACTGGAATGACTAATAAAAATGAGTTCTTTCCTATCAAGTCTGAGCCAGTGACGGCGTCTTTTCTCACCAAGAAAACATATGTTTTTAAAATACATGAGTGTTCTTCTTTACTGTCAGAAGACAATTTGATTGGTGTATAAATATTGAAGAAAATTTTTCAAACAAAGGGCTACATAAGTTTGCTAGAGAAGAATATCTCTATGTTATTTTTGCGTCCTAATGGATCTCGTGAAATATGATGAATATGTCGAAACTTCTTCAAGGTCAGTCAAACTTACATGGCAATACTTTTTTTGAGATGCTGAATCTCAATAAAATAGTTTTGAAAAAAGTACACTGAATGCAGAAGAGGGAAAGGTCGAATTTTTTTTTAACAATGATCATTTGTTTACTTTTTACACGGCTTGTGATATTTTTAAGATTTCAGACTCAAAACTTGATCGAAACACAATAAAAAGTAGATATTTGAAATTAGCTCAATGAGCTTTATCAAACAATATTTAAATCAATAGAAATAAAATTTTACTAAGTTTATGCAATTAGAGTATCTTATTTATTCCAATATTTGAACTTACGAAAAGAATGCTTTCGTTGATGTACATCTGGTTGCTTGCTGTGTAATATGACTTTACAGGGTACAGAATGGTAGCAATGACTAAAATCAAAACTTTGTAAAATAACAATGTGACGATTTTAGATAGAAGAGTCGTTAGAGTTGATGGAGTCACACTTTATTTGGCTTCTTCGTATCATTAATTGCATCGTTTACATCAAAAGCACGCGTTTATATAGGCCACTAGAAGAGATAGAGAAAAGGAGAGAGAATGAAAGAAAGAGAGAAGAGTGAAGGAGAATGAGATGGTTCACGATACATAGTTACGCTTGAAAGAAGAATCAATCATGTGGTGTGAAAAAATGACAAAGGAAGGTTGAATATTATGAATGAACAGTCAATTCAACCAAGTAATGAGATTAGACAAGGGCGCATAGTAGACTCAACTGAAAATGTCACAATCAAATTTTTCTTTCTGAAATCTTTTTATTGAGAACCGTTGAAAATTGTTCAAGAATAACTATATTGACATTGACTTTGTTTTAGATTATTTTATGTCTTGTACTACCTATTTCATACTGTGACTATATCCAATATTATATTTGTACTTCGCATAGAAAAACAAGCAATTGATATTTTTCCACTTCTGAAATTAAAATCACGTAATTCAAATAAGATCAATGGTAATTGTAAACTGTATTTGTAGCATGTATCAATTGATTTTAATTATATAGAATTTCAATCTACGATAAATGTCATAAGATCTCGACAGTCAGATAATTATAACTTGGTTATTATGATATTTCAATCAATCTCTGAGAATTCGTCGACCTGTACATTGAAGTCTATTTTAGTGATCATTATTATCACAATTATTTTGATTATTATCCCAAATGTTACACAGAATCGAAAACTACTTAATGATATCTTCACAAATGATTTTCTACAAATGAGAATCTGTCAAAACGGTGATGAAAACTACTCACAATTAAGAAACATCATTTGCAATGTGAACTTCACGGAATCAAAGACTATACCGATGCCAAATAGGAATCAGGTTTTTAGTGACTATGGATTTTCTCAACTGAATTCACTTTTTCTCGGAGAAAATGGTTCTTTGGAAACGACTGTCAGATGTATTGGTCCTTTACGTAATCAATCATGTCTATATAAAAATTTGTACTATATTAATAGTACTTTCATGATTTTGATTATAAAAGGAAGAATTTTACCAATACTTGGCTTGCGTGTCTTTCCATTCACGACGGAGACTGTTACACCGAGTATCCAAGAATTTGATTTATATTTGGAACTTGAAAAATTCATTCGCCATTCAGCTGAGCCTATAGTAATACCTGGTGTTACTTTATTTTTTGGTTTTCCATGGATTGGTAATGTTGGTCATACGCTCTTTGATGGACTATATCCTGCCTATGCTGCAATAATTCCTTTTCCACCTAGACATCTTCATCCATTTCGTTTACTTTGTGCCATAGATGAGTGTCAAACTTGTCGAGATGAAGATATATTTAATCGATTTGCTGGTCTCGGTATTATTAAGCAATACATTCTAAATGATATGTCAAATGGAAGTTGGTTTGTTTTCGATGAGTTTGTTATGGGTGGTGGCATGATGTGTCAGCGATGTACACAACCAAATCTACAATTACCTGGAGGAGTCGAATTGGATGGTTCTAGACTATTTCGTAATAGAATGTATTCTCAACATGGAATTCTTCCACCAGCTAGACGACACAACCATTCTGCAGAAGGTCGAAATCGACATGATGTACTCCGTGCTTATATAATTGATAATAAACGCTTCACTGAAACCGACAGAAAAGAAATCAATGCTGCAATAATTGAAATTAACAATTATACTATTGCGCATCAAAATAAAAACATAAGTACAATCAACAAATTAGATTGGCCACTTGTAAAAGTCTCATATATAGATTATGGTTCAATCGAAGGTCAAAAAAAGAAATCATCTCGATTCAATGCAACTCCAATAGATGCTAGACCACCAACATATGAATTGATAGAAACCTATTTTACGGCTCAGTTACGATTATTGCGTACTATGGATATTCATATTATAGGACCCGGTACAGGTGCAATGTATCAAACATTTTTATCGGATGGATCAGTAGTCATTAATCTCGGTGGATTAATACCATTGAGATCAGAAGATCAAAATATAACACATACAGCATATATGGAACAGTACATGACATCTGGTGCACCCTATCTCAAAGCTCTCTATTATCCGATTAATGAAAGGCCAAAAGGAATAAAAAGAGAGGAATTAGTAAAACTCATTCGACAAGCAGCCAAACTCATCATGAACGGCTTTTCTATACCAGTAAATTCGAAAGATAACTTGGCACCAGATGGACAATTATTTATTGAAATGTGTGAAAGAGATAAAAAACTTTGTGAACTCGTTACGGCAAGAGCACGAGGTACTGATTTTGGTTGTTATAATTTTTGGGTCGAAGAGTTCATTCACGAACGTGGACCATGGAGAGAACAAGTGAGTACTGGTGGTATTAGAAAAACTCAGTGTCCATACAATCTTACATTGATGCGTGAATTGAGAGATAAATATGGCATTCGTCATTATGAAGGAACAAGTGTTAATCAATCAAAAGTCTCTGGTTAAGATATAGAAAAATATACTTCAAGATCTATGTTGCACTAGCATCATAATGAATACAAAAGGCTATAGGATTATTTTTCACACTTTACTAACCAAAAACTTTGAATCTATTTCTAAACTAATCAATCGTTGTGCTAATACTATCTGATTTAAACGTCTGATAACGGCCGAGGGTGTGAGTGTATGGTGTGGAGGGTGGCTTTGGATGCCGATATGGGTGTGAATGTAGGTATCCGACATGGATGCAATAGATGTGAATCTGAATCTGAATCAGGATGTGGGAGTGGGTGAGGCTATGAAATGTTCAGCATGCCATGATGCAGATTTCAACATTGATAAAAGGTTGTCATAAGATGGCTTCCAGCGGGTGGGTGAGTGTGGGCATTTGTGTAGATGCGGTTGCGGGATGAGAACAAGATACTCATATCCACTCATACTAACACCCACATTGACACCACACTTTCATTCTCATAAAAAAGGAAGTGGCTATGCGCACTCAGGTACACATATTCATTATTAATATAAATAAAATGTGGTTTGGATGTGGTGTCATAGCGAGATGGGTAGGTCCAAGTAGACAATAGAAACTTGACTATTTTGTTTTTTGAAAAGATGTAAAATTGAATAATTATTTATCAAATCTACATTGGTTTTTTTTCTTAATTTTGTTAGAATGATGAATGTAAACATGTATATCGTCATTTACTTCTTGTATGTAAAATTAGGATAACTAACAAATGTCCCGTTTTTTTTTCAACATACTTGTCTTAATTTTTGAATTATTTCACCAATTCTTTCAATCAATAGTAGCAAAAGATACCATTCATTGGTGATTCGAGAATTCTATTCAACTCGTTTGTTTCTTTTTATTTATACATACAAAAAAGAAATTTATTTGATATTGCCAATAAAAAATAATAAAAATATGGCAGAAATTATAATAAATATATTTCTCAATGTAGACATTCCTAATGCATCGTTGCAAAATGATGATGTACAACAATTAACTTGAAGTGATGAACCACCAAATAAATAACCTGATTCATTACATGATTGAACACATTCTTTAACTACATAACGTGTTGGTGCATATGCCATATATACAGTCAATTTCTAATAATAATAATAATAATAATAGAAAATAATAAGTTAAGAAGGACAAAAGATAGAAATTTTTTTTCATACATAACAGTATGCACAAACTGGTAGACTTTGACCGGCATTAGATGTTTGAACATCAAATGGATCACCACAATCAATACATGTGTAGCAAGCAATTGTTTGTATTGGTGAGATTTCTATGAAATATTTCAAATATTTTATACCATCATGAATATTATGTAAAAGTGTATGTAACAAAGATGCCTAATGGAGTAGGGTTAGTGAAAGTATCCGTTGGTTGACACTTCCAAGTATCAGCTCTAATCCAACTCACTTGATTACATAAGGCATTTGACAGATCTCAATCCTGATTCACCTACCTAAAGTTGAAGGGAGATTAATTTTGTCGGACGAACGATGGGTAAATCTTGAGTTAACCGATCGAATTACTTATATTGTTAAGAAAATACTCACAGAAGGGTCTATTCAATGGAGATGTCATAACGATATAGTATATGTGAACCATCAATATGTCTTAAAACTTATTTTTTTGATTATATGATCAAGTGGACCCAGACACATATATAGGTAATTTCATCTTATTTTTCTCTCTTTGGCATTTTTTTTGTCGTTGAAATCGATTTCATAACTTCGTTCACTATGTCTTTTGCTGGCATAGTCTAAACTAAATCACAGTTACCCAAAGTGTAAGGTTCGAGCTATGCAATCTAACCTTACGACTTATGGATTGCAAAAGAAATAGTTTTCCAACATCTCTAGTATGTAGTCATTGAAATGTAAAAGTAAAAACTTCATGCTAATAGTTTAACATGAAATTTTACTATATAATGTCCATTAAGATTAATTCCAATTACTTGAATATGTGATATTGTGACTTCGAAGGAATTTCTGTCATATACATAAGATAATCATAGTAAAATATAACCGCCAAATTTACAACAAGGATCATTGCTTTGTCCGATTTTTGATCATGAATGTCTTCTCTTATCGAAATTCTGGATCCATTACTGAATAAAAAGTTTTTTTTCACATATTCTTCTAATCTTATGGTAGTATACTCCTATTCTAATATTCATTACTAGAATCTTAACACACTTGAAATTAAGCAAAAAAATTACAAAAACTCTTTTCAAAATTTTTGCATTGAAAGAATAAATGATTTCAAATTAACGATACATAATTTCTCAACTGATTGATCTTACAGTTAATGTTCTAAATATCATTTAAAATTGTAGATAACTTACGAATAAGAAACATGAACAATATAGTCAATGCAACAGTATTACCAATAGTCATCATATTGTTATTTCATATAAATAAAATGTGATATTTAATAAAAGAAAAAAGAAAAAGAAGACAAATGCAAGTAAAAAAGAAAAATGACATAAAATTGTTTTCTATCATTGAAATATAATCCTTTTACATGCTTTATTTGTTTTTGTTTATTCATCAAGTTCCATTAGTCTTGGCCAAAGTTGTTCGCATTGTTCACGAACATTACTTGATGGCACAATACGTAGATGTACACAAATCAATTCAAAACATGCTAGTGATGTTTGATCAACAATAGAAGAATAATTTTCATAAGCCAATGCTCTAGAAAAAGAAAAATAATTATAAAAAGTTAAATTTTTTTTTCATAATAAAAAGAAAATTTCTAACTTGTAAAAATCATAATGTAAAATACCAGGTGGTTGAGATTTCACAAATGGTTTGTAAAGTCGCATGGATGCACCCTTAAATAAAATAAAAAAGAAGAAGAAGATACAATGAAATACGTCGATTATTTAGGAATGCATTCAAAAGATCATCTTAAAATTGTTTCGTACAGAAAAAAAAAGAGTTTTATATTTTTTGTACATCAAAGAATTATTTCAAAATTAAAATCAGTTCCAGATAAAATTAAAGTCCTTTATCGAATCGGATTGGTAAACTTGAAAAAAATTGATATTAAGTTAAATTAACTATGGTAGTCACTTCTTACACTTGGTTCGATGGTTGTATTGCTCATACACACTAAAGCAATAGTATAGAGGAACTGTTTATAGGGATTTACTAATCCGAACCAACACAGAACTCTGGACATAAGTGTATTGAATTCTAAGTGAAAAGTTTATAAATCGAATAACTTTTACAAACTAAAAATGATTTTATTTTTCGTCATATTAATCATTGACGAAAATAAACGTTTCTTCTAGAAACAAAGATGCTTGAAATCGGATAAACATTTGTGATTGGTATTATCGGGTATTGAAACACAGGATGACGAATTGTATCCTTTAGTAATATTTTTAACAATACTAAAGAATACTCAATATTCAGAAATATTACTTCACTTTATAAGATCTGTTGGAAAAGATTTTTGAGTATAATGAATCAAATTTCTAACGTTTTTTTGACTTCATTCTCCTCTTTGTGATTAAAAGTGATATTTTTAGGATACTCTTCCCTTCTTTCAAATGAAAAATCTGCATGATCTCTGTGGATATCGATAGTCTATAGTACTTATAACAATAGACTAAACTATGTAACTTCATGTTGATAGTAGCGAAAAAAAAAATAACAAGAATTTATCAATAATCACAAATAAATATAATTTACATACATTACTCTCTTGTAAACGTAATGTATAATTATACGTAAAATGTTCATCAGTCATTGTATATGATGTACAACCACGTTGAAGTGCTGAAAGACATTTTAATTCAAAATTTAATATCTATAAAAATAAAAAGAAAAAGAAAGATCTTTTAAAATAAGAAAAATTTTCATTATAAAATAATATTCTCAAACTTTTTTTTCTAAAAATTGTTCCATTCCATTCATATTATTAGTTGTCATTAAATGATGTTGATTATCATCAGTATATAATGTTGGTGTACAAATATGTCCACGTAAACGATCAATAAGTGCAAAATGTACAAGACCAGGAAAATCATTATAACAACTAAATTAAAATATTTCAGTAGAGCCACGACAAATCAAATTTATTCCATTTTACTTTTATGTTTACATGCTTTTTAAAGCTGTGGGTATGGATGTTCTCTTCACTCTCACCTACTTATATCCATACCCTGAAAGAACTACATAAAGGATGAAGTATATGAAAATTATAGTAGCTTGAGAAAAGCATAAAAGTAAAACGAGATAAATTTAATATCTCGTGGATTTCTCAAATACTAAAGAAAAACTAAGATTTATCAATACGTACAAGCTCATTGTAATATTTCGTTGAGATTTGATTTCAATAAATGAAAACCAATCTTCTAATTTTATTGATAATTTATTTCGAAGAATTTGTATCATTGGTGATAGTTCAAATAAATTATTTTCATTTATTGATAAATTAGTTTGTTGTTTATTATTATTATTATTATTCAAAAGAACGTATTCATTTGTATCAAAAAATAAATGATGAAATATATCAATTGAATAATCACTCATCTTTGATAAATTTTTTAAAATTTTATAACCTCTTAGAGTAAAAAATAAATAGAATATTTTCGAAATCAACAAAAAAAAAACAAAGACAAAATATCAAATTACTTTTGATCATTTTCATTGATAACATCTGTTCTTTTTATTAAGGATTTATAAATTAATTTTGTTTCATTTAATATATTTGAAAATATATTTAATGGTAATTTTTTACTTTCAAACTAAATAAAATATTGTTTTTATTTTTAGTTGTAGAATTCTAGAATAATGAAATTATTACATATCGTCGAATTGTTGGATTATTTTCTATAGGTTTAATAAGATTATTTAAACGACTATATGCAAATTGTAGTTGATTTGTAGATGAATCAAGTTGACGAATAAGTTCAGATAAATATGAACAAGCTAAACTACTTTTCCACTAAAAATTAAAATCAAATAAATAAATCATATTATACAAAACCTTATACATAGTATTTTCATACTAATGAAATCTCGATTAAAATCAAACGATCTTCAGAAGCATTTTTTCATATATTCTACTATAAAGTAGCCTGAAAGCTATCTCACTTTTATATAAAACATTGTATAGTCTCGAAACTATGAGAAAAAAGTTTTCCGAACCAGAACTAACGATTGTAGTTAAATATTCGATAAATTTAAGCGATTCACCTTAAAAATCATAATTTAAGATGATAAAAAAAACTTGTCAGTCATCAACTAGGAGAATTCGAATTTTAATTAAGATATTTATAGTAAAATATGCTTAGTTTTCGGAATTTCGAGCTGAAAATTTTAAAAGACTATGGCTAACATTGTTGCTTAGAGCATGATATAATAAGTTTCTATTGCCAGGAAATTCAAATGAAATGACTATGAGAAAAAAAAAGCATAGAAAATTGATTTCAATATAAAAATAAAGTGTATATCAACAGGGATTGAACTAAGTCGAAAAATTCAGACAGGTACTCGAAAAGGACCAGGTTCAAATTAGATTTACTTGGGCTAGGGTCGAGATCAAGAATAAAAGATTGTAATTCTGTATATTTCCAGTTAGGATGATGTAAGTTCAATATTACTGTTGTTAAAATTTTTAATAGATTTAATTGATTTATAATACGTACTTCAATAAGAATAAGTGCAGAAATTTCATCTGTTAATGGTATGGTATACATAGTAAATGGTGCAAGAATTCTATTTGATGTTTTCATAAATACAACTTCAATAAGATGATTATCATGTATTTTTATTGATTCTAATTGAGGAAAAGCTGGTAATGAATATGTCTATAATTAAAATTTAAATATTTTATTCAAGGAAAAAAAAAATATATATTTATAAATTCATATACTCGTCGAGTTTGTGTAGTACGAATATCTTCTGTTGAATTTATTAAATTATGATGATTTTTATCAATCTTTATTTCAAATATATGAGCCATTTTATTTGATGAATTATTTTGTTGTAATTGAAATTGATTACGTAATGATCGACTTATATTATTAAGTACTAATAGAAAAAGATCACTATTACTTGGCCGATTTTGATCATTACTAAAAATTGTTTTTTGTTTTTTTTAGAATAAATGTTATTTTTTTAATTAAAAATTTTAATTAAACCTTGTATACATATAAACAATTTTATCTTTGCATGTGATAAGTACAAGTGTTGGTGAAGTATTAAGCCAAGATTGAACATCATGATTAATAATTGTACAAGCTTCAAGACATTGTTGACGAATTAATGAATTGATATGTAAATATTCACAACTCTAGTTTTTTTTTTTTTTTGTTATTCCAGGGAAAATGAAAATCTATTTTATATTCTTACCTCAAAAACGAGTGCTTGATTTGTTGTTATGTTATTCAAATAATATTGAACTGATGAAGATATTCGATCGATTGATTTATCAATAGTTTTAGATTTTCTGTTTTAGAAAATCAAATAAATATATTCATAGGAAAAAATTAATTTTATATATTTCAAATAATGTTCCGAGGGAGTGACCTTTTTGTAATCTTGCAAAATTTTCGTTTTTCTGCTTACCAATTCAAAAAAACGCGTAACCTCCCCTATCCGCAAATTCAATCAATTCCAACAAAAACTTTCTGATCGACCTCTTCTCCTCATTCCTGGCGACCTCGAAACACTCCTGTATATTTCAGTAAATTAAAAGAAAAAAATAATAAACAAGAATTTTGTTTGTATTTAGATGAAAATAAAACATTTCTATGAATCTCTATAAATGAAAATCTATTGAACGAAATCAGAGTTATTATATTCGTTACACTTTATTTCACCTAAAATGTATGACTGAAAATTAAACTTAGTTTAATCCAAAGAAAAAATGTGCATTTAAGATTTTTCTGTTCTATATTCATGAACGGAGGAACATTTTGAATCTAGGGTAGACTCAACAATCTTTATAAGAGGTCTACCAGAAAGTTAAGAATATAGCGAAGAAGTGAGAATACTTTCATACTATTTCGATGAGATACAGTTGGTGCTTTTTATATCCAACTTGCATTTTGAACTGTATAAAGTTGGTATGGTTTAGAAAAACAATTTGCAACTTGTGTCAAGAGGTACGTGCACTTAAAAAAACATATTAACATTTTTTTAATTTCATTTCGACTATCGAAAGAAAAGTTTTCGATCTACTTTATTAAAAAACAGAATAATGGTGATGTGGCAGTGTTCACAAAAAAACAGGAAATTTCACTGTAGATTTGTGCACTTTGTTGAAAACATTTCTTACATATATATAAACTTAACCACTAAAGCTGAAAAAAATTTTCAGACACCTTTTACTTTATCTAATTCGAGTTTCTCATGCAGTTCTTCTTCACTTGTAACAAATAAGTACTACTTTACGTCATTGGTCAACGTAGAACCCAATATTTAGTCGTATAAAATTCAATATTTCTTCAAAAATCTTTTCTTAGTCTGCGTTACTACGAAAATGTTACTATTTGCTGCCAAATGCAGTGAAAAATTTTGATGTTTGTATAAGAATTTCGATGCATTGCATAAATCTATCAATCTGATGGAATAAAAAACAAATTTTTAATCCTTCGATACTTGAATCTAGGGTAGATCTCATCCTACTTAAGTCTCGTGGCTCCACCACCGATGAACATATGATACTAGCGAAAGTGAATACTCAAAACCAGCCAAGCACAGGAAAAAATCTATGACATACCGTCTTTGTTTATAATAATTCAAAAGACTATAGATCTAAGTATATATAATGTCGAATTCTGTCATTCTTCTATTAAAATTGTATTAATAAAACATATTCTAAGATACTTACGTAAATGGTAAAACACCTATATGAAATTTAATTAATGCTTTGAATAAATTGATTGTTTTAAGTACAACAATTGTATTAAACGACTCATCAGCCATACATATTATTTTACTTTCTCCAATCTATATTTGAAAAAAAAAGTCCAAGAATTAAATAAAAAAGAAAAACCTAAAAATAAAACTATATTTATTGAATATACTTGATCAAAAAATAATTCCATATTTGATTTAAGTGTTATTCGTTTAATAGAACTATTACGATATAATGTTTGTGAATGAAAACTTGTTAATATTGAAAAATGTTGTACAATAGCATCATCAATTGAAAAATCAATTTCTTGATTTACCTTTAAGCTTATTATAATAAGATAACTAATTATCAATAAAACAATATTCTTACATCCTTATTTTCTGTTAAATTTTCCTTAAATGTATAACCTCGATCAATAAAACATTTATGTAAATATTCAAATAAATCATCAGTTAAAAATCGATAAATTAAATCTGAATTTGTTCCAAAAACAAATATACCAAATAGACAGCGTGTGACCATATTTTCGTGTTTTTGACAAAAAAGATATTAGTAATATAAAAGATAACGTTTGCTCGTTTATATTATATGACGTGGCTTATTTATTTTAGAAAAAAAAAAAACAAAAAAGAAAAGGGAAGAAGAGTCATGATTCTACAGCACTATTTGTGACAGCACATTTCTTTTTTTGATGTTCTTTCCAACGAAGATGTACTTCAACCAGTCCGTAACCCAACATGCTGATAGATAAATAAACAAGAAGAAGAATAAGTGAAAGTCGAATAGTTACATAACTAGAATACTAAAAAAAAAAACAAAATAAAAATAAAAATTTTGTTTTTATTTTGAATAAAATCAAAACTTACACCATAGGTTATGACAAAGCCAACTGATTTCCATAGACGATATTTTGCTAAAGCACTTGGATCATTTTCCGAATAGAGAACTGTATAAGTAGCTAAAATATAAAGATAAAAGATATTATATTTTTCGCTACATAAGAAAAGATTTTCTAAAAATATCCAAGTAAGAAATGGATCGAAAGTTTCTTGAAAAATTATTTTAGTATTTTTCATGTATTTAAATGCATTGCAACATAGTGAGAAGTAGTGTATCGATAAAATTTTGAGGTATATCTCAAACATAAGTTCCATTTGAGGTTGTTTTCTCCAAAAAACAATTTGTTGAGTCTTTTTAACATTCACAGAAAAATTCTAAGCATACGTTCTGAAAGAGCACAAAATTCAGATTCTAATACATTACTTCTCACTCTTTCCCAATGCATTTAAACACACAAAAAATAGTCAAATATTTTGGCTAGAAATTTTCGACACACTCTTTATTGAAAAATTTTAGGATCGGGAGCTACTAATATGGCTTCGGTGTGAGTGTTGCCGAAAAGAAGACTTACACACATCTACACCATATCGTGATATTACGATTGTTTCTAAATTGTATATTTACTATTAATGGTGCAATTGAATATCAATTAAGGTTTATTATGAAAACAATTAGAAATCAGTCGACTCTGGCATTCGACTTTTCTGACATTTTTTGATTATTTTTTAAAATATTTATTGTAAAATTTAGTATTTCTTCATAAGCATAAGTTATCAGTTGACTTGTTTTTCTACAGTAAACGAAAAAAACGTTTTCAAGTTTATGTCTTCTATGTTAGTAAGAGCTATTAATCATTTCGATTGTGATCTATAAATATAACTGAAATACTCGAAATTTTAGAATGAAAAATGCTTTGTAGATACATATCTGAACTTTTTGATGAAGAATGTCAACAGCTAATCTCTTCGGTTTTTTTTCTGTTTCGTAATTGTCAAATTAAGAATCTCAATGAACTAATTCTTTATCATTAAATAATTAGAAAAACAAAATACCGATAACTTGTGTTTGCCAAATAGCATCTGCAATACCCCAAAATCCAGCAATAACAAATAATATAACTATTTGATCTTTTTTTGGACTCCAAAGAAACATTACAATAATAATTGCATAATTAATCAAAGCAGCAACAACGAAGACAAATATTCGACCTGTATATTTAACAAGACGACCACAGACATAACTACTTATTGCTTGACATATTCCATTACATACCATAACAAGTCCAACATAACTATAGAAAACAAGAAAATCTTTATGTTTTGTTTTTCTAAAACAAAAAAAAAGAATATTTTACCGAATGCCAACAAGACAAGTGATAAAACCCTAATGAGAAAAAAAACGATTATGACTATTTTAAACAAGGAAATAAAACAAGTTTTGTACTCGAGTAAATTGTGCTGTTAAAAAAGCAGTTTCAATTGTTGTCCACATTGTAATTGGAATAAGAAATAATTGATCAATATATTTCCATTTTCGGAATGATAAAACTACTTCAAGACTCTTATTTAATAATTGTTTCATAGTTTCTAAAAAGAACTTTCATTTTGATCAATAATCAAATTTTATCTTACGTTTTTGAGTTAATTGAATAGAATCAAGTGTTAGAAATAATAGTAACATTGATAAAGCACCCATTCCAGCAAATGTTCCACAAAGAATATAACGCTTTAAAAAAAACAAAGAAGCAAAGAAATAGATTTTATTTTATAAATTAAAAAAAAAATTTTTTTTACAGTTGTATCATTCACATCTTCAGTTGTATTTGATGGGAAAGCTGCATTAGGATCAAAATCAATTCCACAATTAATTACTTGCGCGTTACTCGATCGATTTAGTACAAAATACGATATTAAATTACCCCAAATTGTATTTGTACCAAATAGTGCAAAAAATATACCAAAAAATAGACTAACTGACACTTCATGAGTTTGTTTTTTATGTTCAGAATGATAACGAGCTATTTGATTAAGATATGTAGCTTTCGCTGTCCATAATGGAGCAGCAGCAAGACCAACAAGAGTTGCACCTAAAAGATAAATTATTAAATTGATATTTATAAAAAAATAAAGAACTATTCCAATAACATTTTGCCTGACCTAGCGAAAAAGGCATTGTCATCTAATTCATGATTGTTACACTACACTACTAATGGAGAGAAAGATTGAGAACCAAAACTTATGGTCTAGTTTCTGTTATCATATAAATGAATAACAATAAAAACACTAGCACTACATTCTATTGTGAGTAACATATATTTGATTAGCTAATGTGTAGAGTAATAAGTATAGAAGTCTAGAATGTGTTACAATAAGATGTTTGATTATACTTTTTCAGATACTTTGAATTCAATTCTTCTACGAAAGATTATCTATTAAACTTTTAAATTTTTAATGTTTAAGTTATTTTGTTTTTAATAAGAGATATTATATAGAAAAAGATAAAAAAGCATTATAAAAATTTTGCCTGATTAATATCGGTAAAATTTTAATTACATTGTTATTAATACTATATAGATCTTTGTTTATTTGATTAAATTTCAAATAAAAAATAATGAATATTAAAATTTTCATTAGATTATTTAAACTCGTTTTTAATTCTAGATCTCTCGTCTGAAATTTTCTATTCCTATTCATATAGTAAAAGATATTAGAAATAATGTATCAAATCAATTACGGTTGAGTATCATCTAGATATGAACAAGGTGATTCTTCAATCCCGTCGGAACCGAACCAAAAATGATTAGTCCCCATCATGTCTGCTATCATCATATATATGCTTGATTCGAGATATAGCTATACGATCGAAATATGAAGAATGATGTATATTGCAATGATATTTAAACGTATGTAGTTCTACTGACCAAACTGTAACAATGAGTGTGTTGGTTGCTCATATATGAATATTGATATTTAACTCATTTCATTCCAGATATTAAAGTGTGTATGACCAGTGAATATCATGAAATTTTCAATTACCTATAGTTATCACATATAGATATAAATTAATCAGATCAGAAATAAGTTCTTTGTAAAACTAACTTAACTAAGAAAAACAGAAAGTTGTGCTTTACTTTTAATCTTCATTCTTTATATGATATTTTATAAGGATAAAACTTATTTTTATGAATCTTCATTATAAAATACTTCAAGATAATTACTGATATACATAAGTACAGGTAATGGTTTTATATTGGCTGCTATATAAAATATATAACCAATTTCACCAAGTATAATAGTCCATTTAAGACCAAATAAATCCATACTAACACCTGCAAGAGCAATCGAACTAAACTAATACAAGAAAATAAAAATCAAATAATTTTCTATTAATTTTCAATTTGATGAACTTACTATTAAAAATGCATAAGTTATAATAAGAGAATTAACTCCAACATTATTTTTAACATTTAAACTTGATTGAAGTAGAACCATACCATTATAAGCTGTAAATATTAGAACAAAAGCTAATGCAAGTAAAAATAAATTTTTATAAATTTTTGCAATTGGAAATGGTGGTATTGTATCAATTGAAACATTTTTTTCATTTTTATGTGATGAAATTTGTAATGGATCCATCGACATAATACCCATTTTACTAGCAGCATTTGTTTGATCTTCACTAATTATACTAATAAAAGATAATTTTCGAGGTATATTTGTAAGTTCATCTAGATCACTTTCGGCCATTTTAAGTTTTTGTTTCTTTTTTTCTTTACTGTAACAGACGACAAAAAGAAAAAGTGTTGAGTACGTGGTTCTGATAAAGTTTCAGAAAAGAATGAAAGAAAGGTGAATGTTGATAATATTGCGTTAACCTGTGTGTTGTTAAGAAACCAAAAAAGCACTAAAGCAAATATATTTCTTTGATCTTACGATTAAAATTTTTCAAGACTTTCAATTATATCATAATATGAACAATTCAATATATTTTTTCGTCTCATGATATTTTCTTTGTACTTAAAACATAGATATATATATAAGTATCATTGGATTATCGCTGTATACATGATATATCAAGGTACGTGATAAATAAAAAGAATAAACGTGTGTTGACGATATTTTTATCAGTAGTTGAGTATTGAAAGGTTAGGATATTTGAATGAAATATTATGATCTTTTTTCTTTAAAACCCGGAATGTAGTACAGACAATTATGGTTTTTTTAAACATAAGATAAAATTAAAAATACAAGGTCTTTGGTTTTTTTAAAATCAATAAAGGAAACACAGAAGTTTTACGAAGAAAATGATAATAGTTTCTTTAGATTCTTTTAAGAAAATTATTATTTTCTTTTCTTTCTTTGTTGACCATCATGTCACTGTTAACAGATGATTTTACTTCGTTTTGAGAGAGAGAAAAGAAAAAATTATTTGATATACAACTGTATGATAAAAATGAGAAATAGACAGTTGTGTGCAGACACTTGCTTGTTATGAAAACTTTTACAAGAGTTTTGAATAAAATAACGAAATACGATGATACAATTAATTAATTTCTTGTGAGAAAATGATCTTCATCATAAAATGATTGATTTTATTGTTCCCATATTTGTCGAATGGATAATTCTAACATAATGACAAGTTGGATTCAACGAACCACATATATATATATAAACCGTAAAGAC